CCGACAGTCTTTTCCATTCTTTTGTTTGTTTTAGTGAATTCGTTTCATGGTCCTTCGACTGTCTCAAAAGACACAGCAACATTGGCAAAAACAGCAGAAAAATACAAAGAATTGTTCGGTGATGATAGCGACACCGACGAACTGTTAAAAGAAGTGGAAGAGAAAATCGAGAGAGAGATACAAGAGGAGTTGACACACAAGGCAAACGTGAACGACACACAAAGCGAATGCACCGACGAATGTGAGAGAGAGGGAGACGTGTTGGAAATAGGGATCGATGAAGAAGTGTTTTTTCCAACAACACCTGCAAAAACCATTGAAGTAGAAGAATCGCTGTTGAAATATCGTCTGCATTTATCGCCGATTCAGTACATACCAAAAGATATTTTCATCGGCCCAAATTTAAAACGAATCGCATCGCTTCTTCATCACACGCCAGCATTGTCACCTCTGAAAGAAACACCGAAACGTGGGTCAGTGAACTTAACAGCTGATCTCATACCAAACGAACGAACATCAAACGCAAGCGAAACACAAGCAAAACGTCGTTTGCCGTCGGCTGTGGTACGAGTTGAACCACGCACACAAACGAACAACAATTCTCGCTCCAACACAACGGCAATTCATCGCAATCACACTCTCTCCCAAAACCTTACGCACACTCTCGCTAATTCAACCGCTGTCCGCCACGCACACACTCAAGCGAGAATCAACACATCAAAACTCGCCCGTTCTCGCCGTGCGCACACAGCCAAACAGGTGCGCACTACCACACCGGCAATTCATCAAAGCCAACCAATACACACAAACGCACATCATCGCTCGCCCATCGTCGACCTACGAAGTAGACTCGGAAACAACAACAACCGAACAGCCGCAGCAACGTATGTCGACGATAACAGCGTGAACGCACACATTGAAACAATCGAACTGAAAAATAAATTGGTTCCATACGGAGTTCAACTTGCAATTGCGGTTGACGGTAGCAAAAAATTATCAAAGAACGCATTAAAAAAGATTACGCGTAATTTGCTGGCCCAGATGTAATTTTTTTTTCTCATTTGTTTGCACAAATATGATGTAATTTATAATTCATTCTGTACATATTCATATCGCATTATTGTACCATCGCACTATCGCATTGAAACGCATTGAAACGCAAAGAACTTAGCATTCCAATAACATAGATTGATTGTGAAATTGTACATGAACAAAGCATCGCATCAAATAAAATCATCCAATTTCATTCAAAATAAACAAATTTGAACATTTTTGCATGATTTACGCACAAAAATCCATCACCTTTAGCACAAAACCAGCATCAATAGAAACTTAATGCCATTTTAATTCCATTGAACAAAAGAAAAAAAAAACACACACACACATTGCATCGCATCGCATCACACTCGAACAACACGGTTCAAATCTGCCGCCCATCGCACACTTTGATTCAATTTGATTGAAAACGACTTGAATTTTTAGCATTACAGTCAAAAACACTTTTGCAATCGCATAACAACCGTTTAAAATCATAATTGCAACATAAATATCATTTGAAAATTACATCATTTCATATAAATTCGCATCGCATTTATTAGCATTTTCGCATAGCACTTTGATTGAGAAAAACACTGAATTTGATTGAAAAAAAAAAAAACTGATTGAATGAAAAACTGATCTGAATATCTTAATTAGCACATCGCATAGCATACACTCGCAACTTAGCAATAATCAATAGAGAAAAGATCAGATTTAGCATCGAATGAGCCAATCGCATCGCATGAAAGATTTGATCAGCATAAAAACGGCATTGATTTGATTTGGATAGCACTCCATAGCATTTGAAATTCGAATTCGCACCCCTTTCGCATAGCAAAAAATCGCAGTAACTCAGCATCTAGCATCGAATTTTCTGGGCAATTAAATTGGAATTGGGCTCCAAATTATTTTCATTACTCGTTTGAGATTATAATTTTTATCGCATTTTTTTTTGCACTCGCATTCGCTTACAGCATTTTGTAATCAGCACTCCTTTAGCATTAAAATAATTCAATCGCATAGCAAAATCTCAATAAAAACTAGCAATATGGCTCCAAAAAAGACGACGGAAAACACATCGAAAGAATACAAAAAACTCTTGCTTAAACGTGACAACTTGGTCCGTTCGATTTTGAGTCATGCCGAAAAAATGAAAGAAGGAACCACGCCAAATATGGCAGCAACTCGGATGAAACAACTTGAAGGTACGCATGAAAAGTATGAGGCAATTATCGAAAAAATAGAAGATCATGATGATTATGATCCAGACCATTTAGAGGTCGACAGTGAAGATGTAACCGAAGCATTTATTAAGGCAATAGGATTGATTAAAGACGCACTAGGTGAAAATTCGAACGACACAATATCGTTAAGCTCGACAATGGCAACACGTAGCATCACAACAACTTCAGAAGTAAAGTTACCCACGATTTCAATTCCAAAGTTCGATGGTTCAAAGGCATTGGAATGGACCACATTTTATGACACATTCTCTTCGCTTGTCGACCAAAATGAAAAAATTCCAAAAATAAGCAAAATGCACTATTTGCGCGATAGTTTAAAGGGCGAAGCGTTTCGGTCTATAAGCAAATTGCCTGCTTCCGACGTTAATTATGAAATCGCCTGGAAAATACTGCAAGAACAATATCATAACAAACGCGCAATTGTGAACAACTGCTTGAAATCGTTTATTTTTCAAGATAGCATTAAAACACAAAATGCAAGCAGCATCCGCAATTTGATTGATACCACAAAAGAGTCTCTCCAATGCATAGAATCACTCGATGTGAGCATCGATGATTGGGATCCGTTCATTGTTTATGTTTTGCAAACGAAATTGGACAGAGACACAGCAATTGATTGGGAGAAAAAACTCAGCGGCTCCAAAGAAATTCCCGAATATTCAACAATGTTGGAGTTCCTCGAAACTCAATATAGAATAATGAAAGCGCCAATAGAAATGTCATGCAATTCACAAGCAATATCACAGAAAGTCCACTCAACAAGAGTACCAAACACGAGCAATAAAAAAGATGTATGTGAAGTCTGCAAGGGCGAGCATTATGTGTTGTTCTGTGACACGTTCAACGCATGGAACGTCACCCAAAGAAAACAATTTGTTACAGACAAAGGTCTTTGCGTCGTGTGCATGAAAAAACATGAAATGGAAAACTGTAAGTCCAAGTTTCGCTGCAAAAAATGCAATGGTCTCCACAGCACAAAGTTGCACGAAGACGAAGCATCAGCAAGCCAACGCGTCGCAACGATTAACGATCTGTCCACTTCAAACCAAAAACTTTTGGCCACAGCAATCGTGAAAGTTCAAGACAAATTTGGCACGTATCATATGTTTCATGCATTGATCGATCAAGGTTCTCAAGGCATAATTGTGTCTGAGAATGCCGTTCAAACACTATGCTTACCCCGAAAAAAAGAACAAATTCCATTGATTGGCCTCGATGACAAACCACTTGGAAAGGCTACGAAATCGGTCCGATTACAAGTGAAATCAGCAGTTGATGAGTCATTCGTAATTTCAATGGAGGCCCTTGTAATGCGCTCAATCATGTCTGGATGTCCACAATTCGCAAAGAAAACCAATAATTGGAAACATTTGAAGGGTTTAAATCTCGCCGATCCACACTTCATGGACACAAATAAAGTCGACATTTTGTTAGGAGTAGATATTTATGGCATCATCTTACAAAGTGGAATCAGAAAGGGAAAAATCAATGAACCAGTAGCTCAAAATACAGCACTAGGGTGGCTCGTTTTCGGTGCCGCCTGCAATGAAAAAGATTACAGCGTTCGCATTCATACTACCCGATTCTCAACCGAACACAATGAAAATGTCAAGAGCAATGATGATGATGATTTGAATACAGCTTTGAAACGTTTTTGGGAGAATGAAGAGGTTCAAATGAAACCCATTATGACAGAAGAACACGAAAAATGCGTTGAAATGTGCAAAGCATCAACAGTTCGTCTGCCAGATGGGCAGTTACAGGTTTCCCTTCCATTCAATATGGATCGAAATGATGAAAACTTTCTCGGGGATTCTCGTAAGATGGCATTGCGAAGATTTTTTCATTTGGAAAAGAAATTCGAACGAGATCAAACCTATTATGAACGTTACAAAGCTGACATGTTGAGTTATTTGCAATGTAACCACATGAATCTTAGCAAAACTCCACTTAATGAAGGCTATTACGTGCCACATCATGCTGTTACTCGCGAAGAGAGCACAACAACCAAACAACGCACTGTTTTCGATGCTTCAGCGAAAACATCAAATGGTTTTTCATTGAACGATCGCTGCTTGAATGGCCCAACAATCCAACCCGAATTATTCGACATTTTTACTCGCTGGCGTACACACAAAATCGCTCTAGTTGCAGATATAGAAAAAATGTATCGACAAGTTTCGCTCGCCCCGGAAGATCGAAAATACCAAAAAAATTTGTGGAGATTTTCGAAAGAAGAACCCATCCAAACATATGAAATAAATCGCGTTATGTTTGGTGGCAAGGCAGCCCCATATTTGGCTATCAACGCAACATTTCATTTGGCTGATACTGAAAAGGAAAGATTTCCTCGAGCATCTGAATGTGTGAAAACTTGTTTGTATGTCGATGATTGCATGGGCGGCAGCCATTCGATTGAATCTGCAATTGAACTTCAACGGGAATTGAATGGTTTGTTTAATGCTGGGCATATGCACCTTCGAAAATGGGCATCAAACAGTGAAAAAGCATTAGAAGGCATTGCTATTGAAGATCGAGCACTTAGCCCATCATTGGTATTAAAAACTGATGAAATGGTTAAAACACTTGGCATGAAATGGACACCATCAACAGATTTATTGAGTTTCACAATAGACATGTCAAGATTATCATCGGATGCTCAAATCACAAAGCGAACGTTGGCGTCCGATGCATGTAAACTTTATGATCCTCTTGGTTTGTTGGCTCCGCTCACCATTAAAGCAAAAATCATCATGCAAAGAACGTTCAAAGAGAAAATCGGCTGGGACGATTTTGTTGATGCCTTAACGCAAACCGAATGGAATGAATATCGAAACGAGCTCTCATTGATTCAAAAAATAAAAATCGATCGTTGGCTTAAACTGCAACCCAATTCAAAGATAAAATTGCACGGATTTAGTGATGCATCCGATAATGCGTTTTCGGCTTGTATTTATATCGTGCAAACATCAAATGGAATAACCACCGCATTTCTCGTGTGTGCAAAGACACGTGTGGCACCAATTGATCCAGTTCCAACACCTCGCTTAGAATTGTGTGGCGCTGTTTTGTTGGCCAATTTAGCTCATCGCATCGAAAACAATTTGAAAATCAAAAAGAATGATGTTCATTTATGGACAGACTCCTCAGCGGTTTGGCATTGGCTCCAGCACCACCCATCCCGTTTTCATGTGTTTGTAGCACATCGGGTATTAGAAATTCAAAAACTCTATCCAGCGAAACATTGGAGACACGTACGAACACACGAAAATCCCGCCGATCTCGCTTCTCGAGGAGCATTTGCACATCAATTGATTAACAATTCGCTTTGGTTTTTTGGTCCCAAATGGCTCATTCTTGACAAAGAACATTGGCCAAAGATCAATTTGTCGATACCACCTGAAATCAATCTGGAAGAGAAACGAACAAAGGTGAACGTTACAATTCCGACAGCCAAACCAAGTGAAATGAGTTTTATCCTCCGATTCTCCGGCCTCACTCGATTGCTGAGAATCACAGCTCGCCTTTTACGCGTGATAAACAGATACAGAAAGGGTGACTGTGTCATGCCCGATTATGTAACTGCCGATGAGCATCAAAATGCAAAAATGGTTTTGGTGAGACATACGCAATCAGTTTATTTCGCAAGGGAAATCGCGGATCTTCAGCGCAATGGATTTGTCAATGAAAAAAGTACGCTTCGTTCACTCAATCCAAAACTTGATGAAAATGGAATTCTAATTGTCGATGGTCGATTACGGTATTCAACATTGCCGGAAAGACAAAGATTTCCAATGATTTTGCCCGCAGAATGCCACCTCTCGAAGCTAATTATTGATTCAGCGCACATCAAAACGTTACACGGCACAATTCAGTTGACTTTGGCTCATGTTCGTCACGAATTTTGGATTTTAAACGCACGCAATATGGTGAAATCGACAGTTCACAAATGCATTGATTGTTATCGCCAGAAACCGAAGCCAATGCGACAATTGATGGCACCATTGCCCACAATAAAAACATCACCTTCACGCGCTTTTTTACATTGTGGTCTTGACTTTGCCGGCCCAATTGAAATCAAAAGCTCAAGCAAACGAAATTCACCATCAGAGAAGGCATACATTTGTGTGTTCGTGTGTATGGCATCAAAGGCAGCTCATGTAGAACTCGTTGGAGATCTCAGCACACAAAAATTCATTCTCGCCATTCGACGAATGATGGCTCGGCGTGGAATTGTGTCTGATTTTTATTGTGATCGAGGCACCAATTTCCAGGGAGCAAAAAATGAATTACCACGACTCTTTCTCGAAGCAAAATCAACGGTATCCAATGAAATTGCGAAGCTCTTTGCCTCCGATGGCACGCGCTTTCATTTTAACCCCCCATACGCTCCAAATTGGGGTGGTCAATGGGAATCGTTTGTGAAACTAACAAAACATCATTTCCGAAGAACCACTACATCGATCAAACTCACCTTCGAAGAGATGACAACGCTTTTGGCACAGATTGAGGCCTGTCTAAACTCCCGACCGTTGTGTGCAATCACTACCGACATTGATGATTTAAATCCGCTTACACCTGGCCATTTGCTAATCGGCACACCACTAAATTTGATCCCCGAACCAAGCCTTCTAACATTAAATGATAACACGTTAGATCGCTTTCAAGCTATTCAAAAGGGAGTTCAAAACTTCTGGAAGCGGTTTTACATTGAATATCTGCACGCTCAACACCCTCGCAAAAAGTGGTATAAGGCACAAAAAGATATTTCAATCGGCGATTTGGTGGTCGTAATCGACGACAATTTACCCCCCGCAAAATGGAAAATGGCACGAGTTACCAGGATCTTCGAAAGCACCGATGGATACATCAGAAGCGCAACCCTGAAAACAGCCGATACGGAGATGACTCGACCAATTGTGAAGCTGTGTAAGTTACCCGTCGCTGAGAAAAATGATTGATTGAGATTGTATTATAGATTAGACAAAATAGCATTAGCCAATAAAGGAGATCTGTTTTCTCCACACTGCTGTGCAGGGAAATTTTATTTCATTTAACCTTCTCTTTCTTTAGCCCCGGAGTATGTTACAAATGTAACAACAAATGCAATCTAGATTTAAGTTTAATTCA